GGCGTGGAGCTGACGCTCTCTCTGCAGACTGCCCCCTAGATGGGCCTTGGTTGGCGTCCTCATCCTGGTACTATTTTCCTGTCAACAAAATGTGGTAAGAAATCTCATAGCTTCTCCTTCTGTCCTATAGTAACTTTTAATCTTTACTGATTGACACAACACTTATGCACCCCACCATCCGTAAGAACTATTAAGTCTGTTTCCAGTATTGACAACAACTGGCAGAAACCCCCAGGAACTGCTTCTTCTGATGATGGCATACAAGACCTCTTCCTCCATCACTAGAGTGAGACCTGTCAACCATGACAAGTAAGCAAAGCAGGTACAAAGTACTCAAGCACAACTTTTTGAAACGGCTAGCCTCTGATGATCAATTTACTTGTGAATGGTATTAGTAGCAGGACAGAGAAGAGAATTCATATCTATTCAAATTACGCATGTTGATTCATAAGAAGTATGTGCCCCCATAACACCAAACACTGAAGCTGTTACTTCCAGTGAGACATTAAGCAATTTTAACAGTTCATTGTGAAATGAGGGAGGCAACAGAACTTTGCATGATGAAGTAAAGGGCTACTACCCCCTGACATTATTTTTCCTGAAGTAAACTGGTCTTTCAAGAATATGCTGCTTTTTCACGTATATGGATCTCTGATGAACATTTATGGGAGTACCATGTTTTTATGGGCAGGGCACACAGACTAGAGACCCAGGGCTGGTATATGGTACATGGTATATGTTTTTGTCATGTGTGTTGTGTGTGCAAACAGTTTCAACCGCTGTTGATATTTCAAAAGGCAACATGAAATATAGCACATTTTTACTAATGCATTTTGCTTTAGTAGAGAAAATAAAATATTTCATTGAAGTTGCAGGGGGAGCTGTAGGTAAGTGAAATGCATTTTCCAGCCTGGAATATGACCAAGACCCCGGGATAAATGTCACTACTACTGAGAAAAGATCATGGACACTTCAGAAACCATAAATGATTAAAAGCTTGGTTTCTTAGCCCTGTTCAAATTAAGCCTCTCTAATAGAACAGCTACCCATTAACACTACATGTGGGTTTTTGGTTCAATGCTGAATCAGAGGGAAGAATGCTACCTGCAAAGTCACCAGCCCTACTTCTTCCAGCCCTGGTCTCTCTCTGCTAGTTGTCAACTCAAGCACCTCTCAGAGATGGTCAAATATCTGAATATTTTCTTTGCAGCTCTCTTTAGCCTGCATAATGTTAAACATGGTGGTGCAAAGACAGCACAGCAAATGGGAGGGACTCTTTAGAGATTACAATCATTCTTATGCATGGTAAAAGTAAAATTCAAGTTGTTCAGTGCACTGAAACTGTGAGGAACAGCTAGTCTCTACCCCAAAATAAATTAGGGATAGAGATCTATATTATAACTGAGTTCAAAGTGTAAAGACATTTATTTACAGATTTTTTACCTTAAATTGGTAGCTCATTGGTTGCAAAGAACAGACATAAATAAACAGTTGTATGTAATGTTCAGATGCAAGACTTCCAAAGGTGAGCCATCTTATTGAGAGCTAAAAGTGATTCAGGCTGTATCAAGAATTACATTTCCTGCTTAGACGGGTGAGTAATAAAAATTACCATACTAGGCACTGTGAATGGGTCTTGTGCTGTATGCATTTCATGTCACTTAGGCCCAGTGAGGTTGAAGTCTGACTGGAAGAGCTGCAAAAACAAGGACATCTATGAAGGTGTACATAGAGCTAACAGAAAGAAACTAAGACCATATGGCTTACTTGGCTTACTTAATCTAGTGAAAAAGCTGAATTTATATGACTTTCCATTCTGAAAATACTGGAGGGAAGTATTACAGGAAGAAAAAAAAGCAACTTAAGCTAAAGCATATAAGCCAACGTTAAAGAAATGTATGCAGAAAATTAGAATACAGTTTCAAACCATTATAAAAAAAAGAATTCTCAAGAGGAGAAGCAGGATAAAAGCTTTCTGCCCATTTCCTCACCTCCCTCCCCAAAAAGATTGAAAAGATTGATCAGTATATCAAAGGAATTAGACTCTCCTGTGGCGTCAGCAACTCTGGATGGCATTTCCAAGCCTATTGCCTGTTTGCCTCCTGTCTCCTTGAGCCACACTAGAAATTTTCAAATCAAATAATGAATAAAAATATTAGCCTTTAAAATTAATGCTGAACACTAGAATGAAATATCAGAGTAGAAAAAAAATGCTCCAAAAATTAAGTTTTCAGCAACCAAGGAATGAGAAAACACAGTTTGTCTCACTAGCTATCATGTATTCCATCTGATTTGTTCTCTTCAGTATCCTATTTCATTCTAGATAAGTGAAGAAAAATCAGCACAGTAGTTGTTCCTAAAGCAACTTCCAAGAATCATCTATCAGGAATGAAGTCAAATGAAACATTCTACACAACCCTGGGTAGTCTGGTTCCAGTAGCTTTTATAGTGTTGCCAAAAACATAAGCTGTGTCATACTGATGGGCTTCTAAGCATGGCTAATTCATGCTTTAGAAAATGTATTTGGAGATTTTTTTAGAAGGTTTTTTGTAATCCATCATTTCCAGTTCATGTTACCAGAAGCATCTCTCAAAGATTCTGAAATGTATTCCTGAGATATTTTAGGTGACAATAGTTTATTAAAAGCTCTTTAAAACTTTTCAAGATACTCTTTGCAGATATTTGTACATTCACTTAGCATCGCAGCATTATTCTTAAATGAAACAAAACATCTGGCACTGAACTTAGTATTTGAGATGATCTCACACCAACAACTGTTAGTTGGTGTCTGTCAGGAAAACTCAGGAGTCTTTTGAAGAAATTACATTAGTCTCTTCTCCAGATTAAGTTCGTGTGATACAAGGTAAACATATTTTTATACTACTATTTTTGTTCTGATGCCTCCTGTTTTGTATGTTGTGTCTTGGTCAGCTTCTCTGTGGTTCATTCCTGCTTTCTTTCTCTAGAGAGAAATCTGGTCAGACTCCAACCTTCACATTGTATTGCAGCATTTCGAAGTACTTGAAGACTTAGTTTTCTGATTTTCACTTAATACTTTCTAGTTGAAGAATAAGAACTACAGCATGAATTTATGGTCCACAGAGAGTAATTAATTAGTACTAATCATTGCAACATTTGGAAGCTAATTGCCTCTGTTTTTGAAGTAAAGTTTTCAGTTTGCTTTCTACCACAACAAACTTTCTAAATGATATCCCATTACTGCATGTTTCTTACTTTTACTATTGAAATCTGGCAGTTGAGTTCCAATCCCATAGGTTTAAGTTCTACAGCCAGTCCTCATTTGTCAAGACATTTTCATCAGAAATTCCCAGTGCTATTCTGCTGTATGAAGCATTTTTTTTTCCTATCATTTCTGCCATTTTGCTGGCTGTATAGTGCAAAATGCATTTTTTTCAGGTACCTCTAATCATAGTTCATTATAGAAATGAATGGGCAAATTTAACTAGCTGAAAAAAAATCCATTTTAAGAGGCAAACAGAATGTGCAGGGTGCATTCACTCTCTCTCAACCTGTTTCTCCTTGAGAGAGATCCCATGGTTGTGCTTATGTCATTGATCTGTGTCAAGACTAGGCACATGAGTTCTTCACTGGAATCAGATAAAGTACTTATGGCTTTAAAACATTTCTTGAAGATACTGAGAGAAGGATGACGCTCTAATGAACATCTTTAAAAGCATGTATCCTCTGCCCCTAAAATAGCAATTAAACAGCTCGCATGCTCATTATTCCGCTAGAATTTGAGAAGCACTTTTAATACTTGTAGAAAGGCTCTTCTCAACAGCCTTTGCTTTCAGCCTGACTAGAAGCAGATCTGTAGAAATCTTGAATGATAAAGTCGGTGTAAAACAAATCTCTCAGTCTTACAGATACAGATTTCTGATAGCTGAGCTACCATTAATATCCTGGAGCATAATGTCTGCTCAGGAACCTTGAATTTTGTTAGCTGGCTAAAGGAAAATCCCATAAAGTACTGCTCAGCCATGCCCCTCTAGCATGGCTGGCATGGCCTGGAGAATGAGGGTAGTACAGCAATTAGGCACCATCTGCTGAAATCTCCTTTCGGCTGCCAACTGCATTTTGGTGTCTGCTGGGATGTGAAACTGCTGTTTGCATACAAGGTGTAACTGTTTGACAGTCTATGTCCTTGTTGCTCCATCTAGTACTGTTATTGCTGTCCAAGCCTTTGATAAGGCCAGTGCCTGAGATAGCTACTGTACTTTCAAGTCTGCCTTCAAATAAGCGGTTACCTTTCATCTTTATTGCCAAGGACAGAGGCAGACGGGCCTGACCACTGGCTGGCTAATAAGTAATAGGGAGCTAGTTGACTCCCACAAACTCTTGAACCCTTTTGATCATGTTATATGTATATTTTATACAGGTATATTATCAGTACAGATTTTTCTGTCTATAAATCCCATTATGCACGGAGCAAGCAAGGGCCAACACATGATACATGCATGTGCCAGCAAAATGCATGTCTGTAGAAGGACTCAGCCATAACTTAACAGGCAGAAAAAGCTCTTTCAGCCCTTTGTTCTTTCCAGTACCCAAATATGACAGATTAATCATTTTCTATACATAAATTGTCACCAAGATAAAGTAAAGCTTCCAAAGGGAGAATATTCACATCACAGAAAAATCTAGTGATATATCAAAGCAAAGAAACTCAAAGTTCATGAAATATTTGTTTTCCTCAGAGCTTTCCTTTCTCCTAGTATTTACAATCATGGAAATTCCACATGAAGATTTCTTGAACAAATATAGCTCTATTCTTCATATCACCATCATATCACCATCTTCATATATTGGCCATCTATGCCACATTTGGTAAACTGTGAAATCTGAAGCCTATTTGCTTAGTTGCAGCTTTTTAAAAGTACACAGACACTAAAATTTTGTGGAAAAAAGAAAGTTTCCTGTGAAAGCTTTCAACTTTATATGACTTACAGCAATAGTGAGGGTCATTCAGATTTAGAATTTATTTTGTCCTCATCAAAATAAATGAAGTAAGGATATCTTGATGTTTCAATTCAGTTCATATGTGAGATGAACTGTGAACATGTGAGATGGTGAAGGGGTGCAATTGCTTCCTTTTTCCCTCTAGGTGACATTACTTGAAACTCAGTAGAGTCTCTCAGGCTCTCTGCTCTTACTCTCACCACATAAATCTGGCTTGTTTATCTGAATGACAACTAGGAACCTAATATCAGCTTTTGCTCTCATGTGCATAGCACTATTGAATTCACCCACATGAAATGTCACCACACTACATCAAGAGTCAAGGAGGAGTTTGTTCTTCTAAGTAAGGCATGGCCTTCTCTCAATAGCAACACAGCATTTACTATTTATCTTTAGAAGATAAGGGATGATTTCTTAATTGTATGTAATTAAATGCATAGACAATATGAAAATCTCACAGACCTCAGCATTATTAATCACATAGTTTTCTAAGAGCTCTTTGGGCATTTACATGAAGCATCAAAATTTGAGGTTGGTCATCAATCATTTTCAATAAGACATTAGCCAACAGCATGATAATCTACATTTGTTTGCTTTTTATTTTACATTCCTTTAACAGAATGGGGAGTGACAGTTGAAAGTCTAAACTAGGACTGGAGTTACTAGACATGTTTATTTGTAATGTTCTCATGTCCAGAAAAAAGCCCTGAGGCCTGTACAAACTCATCAGAGGATACAGTGCTAAACCTGAAGAACTTTCATTCTAAATCAAGAGTTGCAAAGTTGCTGAAACAGAATACAGCTTACAAGTAAAGCCATGGCTTTCCAGAAGCATTTATATACTCGAAGATAAATCAGGCAACAATACAAATGCACAGTTAAAATACACAATACAAACACACTAATGTATTTGGTATTTCCCTTTCATGGAAGAATACTACAGTGCCAAGACATAGATTTTGATATCTGATGACTTTAAAAAACATGCATCTCTCTTTTCTCTTTATTTCAGGAATTTGAGATTTCCCAGATTTAGCCTAGAAAAATAATTCCTGATGGAGATGTTACTGAAGATGGAGAGAGAATGAGAAAAAGATGTAGAAGGGATGCAGAAGAGTAAAAATGTGAAGGAAGAAGGTAAAGAAGAAGAGAGAGGGAGGGAGATCAAAGAATGATTTGCAGCAAGAACAGGACTGAGCACCATTGTGCAATACTTTCTTTTTTGAACTCAAGAGTTGAAATAAGTCTGCTTTGACTCATGTCTGGAAGAACAGATGTCACACCTCAGCAGGCCCTGGACAGGCTGCCTGCTACTTCCATCATGCTGATTTTTGTGGACCTGAGTCTGAGACAATCAGCCAGTTTTTCTGTCTTTCTGCAGCCTGACCATTCTTCCTGATGCCACTGCTTGGCCTAAGGAACAGCCACAAGCTTCACAGCATAGAGGGTAGCAATAGCAACAACTTCCCCTACTACAATTCTCAGACAGAGCACATAACTGTAGAGGAAGAGGGTGGATAAAGATGTGCCAGAGTCATATGACTGCCACAGCACATTTACTCTAGAAAAAAAGAAAGAGCAGCTGAGGACTAGTGCCTGAACTGGAGCAATAAAAGCAGATGCAACAGGTTGTACAGTTGAGATGTATGTACTTTCTTGCATGTCCAGGCGTGAACCTACCATCTAGGACTTCTTTCTTTTCCTTTCTCCAAAGACTGTAATATTTTCCACTGTGGCAGACTTATAGAGATTGTATTTGCTGTATAAATATTAACCTCCGCCGTCACCAAGCTTAAAAACAGGTCTGCCCCTCAGAATTGCACTCGTACTTCAAAGACATGAATGAAATCATCGTCCCCAAATAGAGTTTTGGGATTTTCTGTCTTGTAGAAAATATGTGAGGTGTATATGGGATGAGGAACTGCAGGGTAAAGTGTGGAAAAAGTGAGAAAGAGAAGAAAAGGAAGGGGAAATCAAGCTGTCCCAAGTAGGGAATCATGAAAGTTGCTTCCCATCACAGAGCTTTCAATAGCATTGTTTGAGGTCCCTAAATCCACAAATACCTGGCTCACTCTTACACATTCAGGCAAAGTGTTTAGGATAGGAAAGACAAATTGGGAGAGACAAATGGGAACCAATAGTTCTCTGTGAGAGGATCTTAGCCTTGCATGCCTAAGGTATGAAAATACTTTGTTTAGCACATGCTTATGCCAGAAAAAGCATCAACAAATTCAGTGCTAATGGAAGAATGACAGAAGCTACCATCCTGTATATAATCAGACACCTCTCTTGAAAAGAAAAGGTGATCTGCAGGCTATGATCTTGGTTGCCTCTAAAAAGGATTTCCAGGCAGCAAAGCCAGGCAATATAGCTCAACAGTGACAATTTTGATAGAAATCCAGGTACTGCTTGAAGCTTTCCACACTGGTGACCTTTTGTTTAGCCAAGGTTTGGTTGGAGTTTGTTTTTGTTTGTTTGGTCTGTTTTTAATTTTTACTTTTCTAGCATTCTTCTTTAATTCAGATTGACATCAGTATAACAGCACAGACCAGATGAAAACAAAAAGAAATTAAAATTTTCCCTTGAGAAAGTGGAAGAAAACTTACTCTGCAGAACTGAACTGTAAAGAGCTTTGTTTTTCTTTCAAAATTGTGCCTAAAATGAATGGTAAGAGACATCCTGCAAACTAGAGACGTTGAACATAGTGAATCAAGTCCAATTACACATACTAGATAAAGTCTCCTCACACCAGCCACTAGAAGGCAAATAAAATGCTGTCAGTCTTTGAAAACTGCTACCAGTTTTTTCTGGTCCCTTGAAAATAGAAATTGAGAAGCTTGTCAACTGTAACATTTTTTCCTCCTATGGTCATTTTCATTCCTTTCACTGATAAAGTTACATACCAGCAGAAAGAAAAAGTAAGGCATGTTTAAAATTGATCAAGCTAGGACAAGTAGTAACATGTCATTGAATACTGAAATACTGTGCTTCTATTTTAAACTTTTCTGTGATGAATAAATGCAACTGATTTGGCAAAGTCCCAGTCACAAAGTATGAATTATATCCACAGGGACGATCCTCTCCTTTAAAATCCTAGTTTGAAGCTGTCAGACTTAACAGTTCATTCAGTTTATTTTTTGGCAGAGCCTTAAATGTATGCAGAGCTTGGCCAGCCAGTGGGTAACTCTCGCCTCTTTATGTTCTCTTGATTTCTTGTGACCTTTCTCTTGATGTCTCCAAACTCACTGCTGACCATAATGTTTTGTTTTGCTGTTTTAAAGTAACTGTATGTATGGGTGCATATTAGCTATTAAAAAGCAATTTACATACCTTAAATGCACTTAGCCAAAAAAACAGCGACAGAATCCAACCCAATAAATCACAAAAAGGGGAAATCAAAGAGGAGGCAACAAGGTGGGCAGCACAGAGATGTTTATGCTTCTGCACTGCAGGTATGTGTCCTCTGTCCAAGAACAAAAGCCCACAGTATAGGCTGAGTGGCCAGCAGTGCTAGACAAATGATGAGTATTTCTAGCAGTTTTCCAAAGAACAATATTCTTTCACTCAGAAACTGTTCCCAGTTCTGCTCCAGAGCTAAGCAGTTCCCGTACCTGGCCAGTTCCCATTATTGTTTTCTTCTGGACCCATAGGAATTTAGGTACATAGAAAGAAAACACTCTCTTGGTAAGACCAGGTTCTTTTCAGAAGAAGAAGATGAAGAAAGGAACTAATTCTAGCAAGCATGATTGTCACCAATTCCCCCTTCTCCCCCTGTCGCTTCCTAGACTTGTTTTAGTCTACCTAAAACATGTCATGGTCTACCCTATCACAACTCCACTAATAAAAGCTCCACTAGCAGACAAAAATAAAATGTACCAAAGGCTGTAAGCTCGTGGATTTGCCAACCTATGGGGAAATACGGTTTTGTACAGAAAAGGCCTGGAGAAGGTTCATCCAATCGCTGCCTTGGGCTATAGAAAGAAATAGCATGATTGACAGCTTTTATGTTTTCCCAGTGATATCAGGCCATCTAGCAATAGAAATTGTCCTAAATCCCTTTCTTCACTTAGCATCTTAGATCAGCAGAGCAGTAACTCTTCCAGCTTAGAGATACCTCCAGCTTCTTCCTCTTCCTACAGCATATAGAGCTGTGGTCTCAGTGCATCTGCTAGATGCAACTTCCCAATCCTCCTTCCAGCAAAGCGTTAGAGCAATGTGCTCTGTTGAATTGCTTACTAGAAAACTAATTGTAACCCAGGCAGCAAGGCAACAAAAAATATCCTCTAATTCAATATAAAAAGCAAGTTCAGAAGCTGAGCTTTAAAAATTAAATAAATATTGAAAATCTATGGAGCTCTGATGAGAAGTATTTTTTAATGTAGATCTTGCTTATCTTGTGAGGTTTGAAGATGAATTTGGCTTTAATTTTAAAACACACATTTCAAAAATGTAGCAAACCCAGTTCTAGGGCTGCTAGTATTGGATTAAATTTTCTTAAAAGAATGAGGCTCAAATCTGTGGTCTGATATCACTGTGTTGATTCTAGTTTGTCCAATAAAATCTGATCATTAATGATCTGATCAAAATCTGATCAAGCTTCGGCTTTGTGGTGGACCAGGAGAGGTCTACATAAAGGATCAGTACTTCACATGTTCTGACTCCTTGGGTAGAAAAGCCATTGGACACATGCCTATTTCAGATCTTGTAAAGAGTGATGAGCAATCAAGTGGTGTAAATATCCAATATTAATTATTATGGAAAGGCAATCTTGCTTTGACAGCAAGCATGAACAAGCAATCAGAGGCAGTGCTACAGTCCCTGTTGCATGAATGTTTTCCCATCTAGCAAAGCCAATAAGGGTCCATTTGATCTTTAGTGTTCCCTCTTCTGACCCAACCACCCTTTATCATCACTGTGCTTCTAGTCATACACCCTCATTTCTGCCAATTGAAAGATTCCTGATAAACTGAAACAAGGTATGTGGAAAACACCCTTCTAGAAATACTATCATTGATCTGTTCATGTATCTATATCTGATTTAATATGCTTGCTTTTAAAGGATATGCTTACTTTTAATTCTATGATTCTGCAGTACAGCACCTTAGGCCTTGACCTGGTCAGATTAGCAATCACTTACCGATATTTTGGGGAGCTGTGTCTTCAGGACACATTTCTTTATTTCTACTTAGCTCCGCTCAAAAGTGAGCTGCCCTCAGCTATCTTCAAGATAACAGGAGCAGAGGGAGCACATACTAGAAGAAGCACAACTTCCATTGCAAGGCATAGCATCCATCCAGCACAGTCCATTTAATTTAGAGCTGCCATGATCCCATTCTCATTCCTGAAAGTAGCTATAATTTTTTTGTCCTTCCATTTATTCCAGCACTGGTGGTCATACCATGCCAAGGTGAGCAATTTCAGCTTGCTAAACTGGAAGGAAAGCACATTTTTGACGGGATTTTCTGCAGATTTACAGATTCACAGATTCACAGAATATTTAAGGTTGGAAGGGACCTCTACAGATCATCTAGTCCAACCTTCCTGCTCAAGCAGGCACAGGGTGGCTACAGCATGTGGCACAGGGTGGCATCCAGGCGGGTTTTGAAGACCTTCAGAGTAGGAGACTCCACAACCTCCCTGGGCAGCCCTTAGCAGCTCATCATGTAGATGAGGGGTAAAGAAGGAGCGTGTGGGGAAGCAGAGCAGTCCCGGTTCAGTTCAGCTGCAATCTCTTTGGCACCTCACTCTTTCTGCAGCTACTCGTTGGAGATACACTCAGGATTTACCCCACTCGTATTCATAGGGATTTTAGTCCTGGAACAGTACAGTGATAATATAACACAAGTTCTCTTATTACCAGAGCTAGATCAAATAGGATCATCTAATTAGATCCAATAGGATCATCGCTAACTCAACTTTCCATAGGGTTAGAAGCCACAGCTATGTTCTGCTTATATTGAAAACAATAAACTCACATTTTCCCCACAACAATTTTCTGTCAAGGCAGACAGAAAATTTGTCAGGGCAAAAATCTGCTGAATACTGAAAATAGAGGGTAGAAATAGTATGGAATGGAATATAATTTAAAACAAATAACATAGAGACTAACACCAAGTGTTAGTGGATTTTTATACACATCTGGGCAAAGCTCACTGGACTTTTCCTGCTTAAATGAAGCTGACACATAATTTTGAATCTGCTGCACGTCTTAGGAATGTGAACATAGAATTTAGCTCTATCTTGCCACAGGTTGCATGAGATTTTACTGACAAGCAAATTCAAGTGCAGTAATAAACCAGATTAGTTATAAGGGGGAAATGCCCAATAAATGAAGACCCATTCTATAAATGGGTATAAAACATTCTTTATATAATTATTCTTTAAGAGTAATCATAGAAGATATGCAAAGTGAGGGACAGATATCCAGTCAATAAAAAGGCTTCCTGATAATGCTCACAATTATAGCAGAAGATATTTTTACAGAAGTAAAGAAATAAAGTACAAGTTAACTGAAATGAGAAAGCAAAGTAATCCTGACTACATTATTTTCACTGAGCAAAAGTGCAGAAAGTAAACAAAAAAGCACAGAGGGAAAAGCAAAGGTTAGTTCAAAATGTTTTAGCTATAAGTTATCAGTAGCACATTTGCTGGAAGTTTTAACTCTATATGTGTGTCTCTGATAAAAGGAAAATCATTTGTATTGTTTTTTTTTAAGTGCTAGAAGCATCACTCCAAAATACTGGCTGTATTTGCATCATTAGCTTCTAGGATAGTCTGACACTTTGCATGGCATAAGCTTGTCTTTCTAATCCAGAGAGATCAATTGCCACATAATGCTAAGAGAAAGGAAAGCCACATATCAGGAATGAGTAAGCAAGCCCTAATGGTCATTGTTCTGCAATACTCTGAACAATACCAGCCAAGGAAAATTATATCTAAGAAGGGTGCATAGCTTCTGCTGCAGCACTACACTGCTACTACAGCACTAAAACCAATGTTGAAAGCTTTAATGATTTTCTTTCCCCTTCGAGTCACAGAAGTGCCTTTTGTTATGTATTTTACCTGCTTAAGCAAACAAGCAGTGCTATTTGGTGCATTTCAGGGGCAGAACAAGAAATTTCTCACAATATGCAGTAACAGCAGAAAATATTCACCACCTTTATAGTTTAGCAACATGGATAAATAGAGGAGAAGATTGGCTAGGTTGCAGGTAGTCAACCTCCCTTCCTCCCAGAAAATCTGCCTTCTTAGGCTGGGTCTCTGGAATCCCAACAGTGCTGTTAGGCCAAGAGAGATCCTCATGCCTGTGGTATTTGCTCAGAGGGCATGACCACTTTGGCCAAGTCTTTCATGTGAGTCAGCTTTAGCTGATCCATGGGAAAATTCCTTTGTGTTGTCAGGCAGGGTTTGTTCACAGTTACAAAGGCTAATCCCAGTGGAAGGAAAATGCTTTTGAATTTTAGCAAATTTGCATCAGCTCTTCAACTAAACCTAAGGCAAAGCAAGGAATCATCAATTTTCCTTGCAAGTCAGTTTTAGTAAGTTACTTGTGCTTTCTGATATATACTGCTCTTTTACTGGAATTTGCATCTTTGCCCACATCAAATGTCATGTGTAGAAATGTGGTCAAAATAGATTCAGAAGAAAAATGCAAGTTATGACTATGACCTCTGGAGTAAAAACTAAAGAGCCAGTGCTGCAGATTTTCACCCATTTGGCTACCCTGTCCTCAGGGACCTGTTAGCTTGAACAGGATCCTATGTGCTTTGCCTGATTTTATGTTCACTGGAATTAGGGGGAGATTTTTGGTTATTTCCATAAAAAAGTTAGACTACAAAAATGCAGGATTTATATAAATATGCAAAAATGCATGAATCTCTCCATGTCCTAAGTCCAACTACAAGTTTCACACCTCTACCAGCCTTTTTTCCAGTGAAAAAATAAGGACAGAATTAGCTCCTTGCGTTCTAAATATGTCATCAGAATAAAAGACTACAAATCTCTTATTTTATGCATTCATTTCTGTCAAATAATCTCCCTTCTTCCTTATAGTCACGCATCCTGCTCCTCATCTTGAAGCAGAGAGCATTGGACAGTTTTAGTGCAGCATGCCGTGAATAGAATGGAAGAAGAGATCAGAATCTCCTGCTTTATTGAATGTACATTATTGTATCCAAATATAGAGGACAAGTGAACTCTGTGTCCAGAGAAGTCTTTAGACGAAGAAGAGTCAGCAAAGTCAGACTAAAATCAGGGGAAATTACTTTTCATTCCCCTTAAGGGACTGGAACATCTCTCATAGAAGGAGAGACTGAGTGAGTTGGGCCTGTTTTCTCTACAGAAGGCTGAGAGGGGATCTGATTAATATGTCTAAGTACATGAAGGGGAAATGCAGGGAGGAAAGAGCCAAGCTCTTCTCAGTGGGGGCCAGTGACAGGACAAGGAGTAATGGGTGCAAGTTGAAACACAGGCTGTTCCACCTGCATGTGAGGAGGAACTTCTTTACTGTGAGGGTGACAGAGCACTGGAACAGGCTGCCCAGGCAGGTTGCGGAGTCTCCTTCTCTGGAGGTCTTCTTGGATGCTGCCCTGTGCCACGTGCTCTGGGTGTCCCTACTTGAGCAGGGGAGTTGGACTAGATGATCCCTAGAGGTCCCTTCCAACCTTAACCAGTCTGTGATTCTGTGATTCCATTAGTTTACATGGGCAGCATCCAGAAAGCTCTACATAACTTACTGCTGTGGAAAAGCTACTGAAACTGAACTGGGCAGATGCACTGGAAATCATTAGGTCACTTTATTGCCCACTCAATGGCAACTGCCTAGGCTTTCATCAGCTCCACACTCTGTGAGAACCTAAGAGATCATATACTATGTGCAGCATGAGCATGAATGGGAGATGAAGAGCTCACCTTTTTCTTATGGAGCCTGAAGTAACATACGTCTTATTCATCCTTAGGGTCCTAGGCACCAATGCCATATAAATAAATCATTGTATCTGTAAACATTTGCTAGATATTCAGAGCCATTCTGCATTGTATTTGCAAGCTTATAGCTTATACTATCTATCACTGGTTGCTGAACAGTATGGCTGTCCATAAGTGATAATTCAATGCTTAATGCTTTAATATTCTTTAAAATGAAATATTAGCCAGAGACAGAAATTCACTCATTGAGGAGGGAAAAGATATTTCAATCTGTATCAGAGCCATGCAGCAGACTTCTTATATTCCTCACTGTGCTTGGTTCTTTCTAGCTGATGTGTTTGCAAGTGAGCAACTCATATATCAAAGCCTGTCTTGCAATTACAAATATCATCCTCAACAACATTTACTGGTGTCGCCCACATTTATGCTGCCTGCACAGCACACGTTTGTTTACTCTGATAGGTTGCAAAGGTTATATAGGTTAGCCTGTAGCAGTTAGGATCCTCCTCTTCCTACCCTCTCATCCATTTTGAGGTGGGTGTCTATGTGTGCCTGACTAGTAGGTGTCAGGAAATGTCTTAAGGTTTGTGTTGTAAAAAATGTACTCAAACATTTTCCCTCCTCTCCTATCCTAGGAAATTCACACCTGCTCTAGGAAGAATAAGTCAAAAATAATGCCAAAGTCAAAAACTACTGTGTGAGAGATGTAAAAGTAAATACCAGCATTGCTAGGAGCTGTGATAGCAAATAATCTCTGAGGTGAAATGCCTAAGTAGTATTTTTAATGAAGGGGTTTTGGGAGGTAAACATATCTCATTTTACAGAGAAAGAAAATTCTTCACAAAACATAGTTAGGGTGTAAGATCTTTGTAAAAGGTGTAAGTCTAGAAAGAACTTACCTGCTAGTGTAGTTTTGTGTCCCTAGTGAAGTTCTGATCATTTTCCATGATGAATCACCTAAAGTCAGAGTTGGTGATTAAAAAGAATTTGTATATGGGCCACTAGAGTACTTCTCCACAAAGACCAAGAAGTTGAGAGTATCTACAGAAAAAGAAGAGCATGAGAACTGGTTCCGGTCGCAGTAGTTAAGCCCCAGACCCTTGGCTGATATGAGTTGCCATAGTCTATTGATTTCAGTGGACAAGAGGGTAGCATAATGTATTACAATCAGTCATGTTAAGAAATTTGTTATTAAACAGACTTTTTTTTCGAAGCTTATTTCCAATCCTTTCTACGAAGATAACCTTTACAATGCCTTCAAACTAATTACAGCTCAAAGTCTGTTAAGGTGAGATTTCCTGGAGAAAAACAATTAGCCACAGCAACTCTTACCCTTTTTCACACCAAGCTCCAAATCTTCAGAAGACCACAAATACATGGTTCACAAACAATTCCTGAATCAGATATCAGACTCATCAGAAGAAGGTGGTTCAGGGACTTGGGGGCTGATCTGAAGATTACATACTGTGAGACATACTGCTCTGTTATGAACCCCAAGCATGAGCTTGGGCAAGTCACTCCAGGACGGCACAGAAGTTACTGCAGACAAGCAAGCTACTGGATATGAACTGAACTCTGGGAGAAACTATGCTCTTTTAAACTTCCTCCACAAAAACTTGGGATACAGCATTTCAATTCACACTTGCAGGAAAGTCTTACGAGTTGTGATAACTTTCCCGGATGTGGTAAGTCATGTTAGATGAACAGTCTGGGAAGATTTTTGATGGCCTGAAATGCATAGAGTGGAAATCCCACTAGATGTCCCCCCTGCTCCTTCATGCACTTGCATAGTCTTAAATTTATGAACTGTCATGGCTGTACAAACAACTTATCTGTAAAACGGGATTAGTAGATGCTTCTCTGTTACAGGGAACATAGGGAAGGAGCAATATTTGAATGTTTGAGATACTTGGATCCTGCAGAAATGAAAATAAATAATCAGCTCCTGTACATGTGTAGTATCTGATAGTGCATCTGAAATAAAGATACATTCTTGACATTTGTTTCTCAGAGGAGTCTCACTTCAGTCTTCTCTTGTCTGTCTGTCCACCAACAGAACTATTTGCAAGGGAAGAAGAATAGCCCCTGGATGTCAGCTGGTTTACAGGTTGTTCTGCCAGCGATGGAACTATCTCACAAAATAAACCATTTGATCTTCAGCCATGGGGGTGCATGTTGTCTGTAAAGACTTTGGTGTTTGATAGTATTTTTACTGTATTTTACAAAGTAAAATTGTATTTTACAAAGGCTATATATATATATATATATATTTACAAAATACTAAGATAGTATTTTACAAAGGCTTCATAAAAATGAATTTAAACTTTTAGGCTGTTTATGAAGAATTTCTTGTGGCTACTCATTTGCATGCAAAGTCCCACTGTTCCCACAAGTGTTTGTAAAGACTTCTTTCATCTTTTTTCTTTTGTGTGTTTGCTTTGCTATAGCATGAAGAAAAAATAAAATAAATACTGTGAGACATTTAGGGCACGATGTTCTGTAACCTAAAGCACTAGAAAATCATTGGGAGTGAGTATGTCATAGGTACAGTAATTTCCAGAGATGTTCTCAGTAAATGCTCTTAAAAGTCCTTAGATAGACATAGATTCTTATACAATCAGTCTTATTTCCCACTTACATAGACCCTTATGGTTGCATGAGGCTCGACTATATTATTGTCATAGTTGCTCATTTACTCTTTAGAAGTATTTATTTGAATTTGTAGTTGAATTTGAATTGTAGATGAAGTTCATCTACATATTTAGGAGCCACTCCCATAATATATAGGCAGTTAAATTTGGAAGTGACTTTAGTGTCATTATGAAAATACAATATCTTATTTAATAACATTTAAAGTAAGGTCATACATTAAATACTTTATAACTGTTTTGTTTGATACATATAATAATTTTAATATGATGTTTTCAGACTCATTAGTACACTTTCCCCTGTCAGTAAGTTAAGTAACCCAACTCACCAACTCACCTTAACAAGTATATTAGATATAATATATGTTCAAGGATATAATGTTCAATGATGTTCATAGACATGTGCTCACTTGTATTTCTGTTAACAGGGCCAGGTATAATTTGCATATGAGATAGGATCCACTATTCAAATTGCGGCCTGTGGATCTCAAAACTCAGTACATAACTTTCTTATTTTATTTTGGAGTTAGGATGATATGCTTGATTGACTTTCAGAGAGACTGAGATTTCTTGAAAGAAAAAAGCCATCTGCCTGCCAATGCCAAGTTTCTTTTCAAGGCAGCATTTGCATTAGGGCAGGCCCAAAGGTCCTACTTAAATGCATAGCCTCTGGCTCCTACATCCATTATTAAAAGCTAGACATAGGAAACAGGCCAGATCTTTGGAACTCTTGAAGAAAGTCAGAGGATAGGAAAAGCACACATCAGCTAAGCATCTTGAAAAGAGGCAAAGAAAACATGATCAATGGGGCTGGGAAGGTCCATTGTAGGTTTCCCTGGCCAAAAACATGTTGCTAGAGTCCTAAGTCTCTTTGCAGTTTTGACTATAGCTCTCTTTATGTCAAAGATGCCACAGAACAACTCTGTCAAGGGATTTTCATTTAAGTAACTGCTTTAAGATGGCCAATAAATGCCTTGTGTAAAGCATCTAACCTTACAGACATTTCTGCAATAATTGGTAAGAGGAGTTAATTTACCTGAGTAAACTAAGAAACTTTAATCACAGAATTACTAATTGCAAGCTTCTGGAGAAATGAGGTTTCTAGAGATCTGGAGAGTTTTTATTTCCCCTTTATTTTTCATTTATATCATAGCCTGGACCTTTTTCAGCAATGTCAGGGAGCCAAATTCCTTAAAAATGCTAGAAAGACTGTTCTCATTCTATTTACAGCATACCTGGAGGTAACAATTAACAGATATATCATGAGTAAGCTCATTCTAATGAGACTTTTGGTCCACCATTGAACACTAGTGGAGATGGAAAAGTTACGACAGGACAATATCATGCTAAGCTCTATGCAAATGTTACATGCTCAGACCAGCATATTGTTTTAAACTGAAGTATTTTAATAAAAAGTTTGCCAGCGCCTAATAAATAGTAATGAGGAAGTCCCTAAAATCTTGATTATCACATGTTCTAGAGAGGACAGTCCTTCAGAGCTGTTTGACTTTGTACTAAATGTGACTGGGACCAGAATGCAACAGGTTAACTCAGCACTTCTTGTTAAGGAGTCTTCTAAGAAGTGGAGTTGATTCCTTCCACTGTTTCCCAGACAGTAAGGATTTGCAATCAGATCTCCTCCTCCCTTCTCCAAAGGAGTACATAACTACTGGGCTGCAAAAGTAGGAGTAGAAAGCCGGAAACTTTTGTCCCTTGAGCTATTCCTGGCATCCAGTTTCTCCTGGGCTGGCCACAGAGACGGACGATGGCCACAGAGATGAAACATAGAGGTTTGTGCCAGGAACTGGTACAGTGGAGTCTTTAGGACCACTTCGCAGAAATTTTAGTGCCAAGTGCACTACACCAGGCCAGAACAAAGGCACATGAGGACATGGGGCAAGGATGGAAAATAAGCATCAGTCTCAGAGTGCCTAATGTTGGACTTCAAAATCAAATGCATTGCTCGGTTTCCAAAAATACGTGTGCTTTCCGTTCCCAGTTTATGGATTTAAAGACTAGTGTCTGCATTTCTTTTTTTTTTTTTTTCTTTTTTTTTTTTTTTTTTTTTTTTTTTTTTTTTTTCTTTCCAAATAACAAAGATAAATACAACACAATTACATCTTGGTAAGTTCCCAATCTAAGCTATCACTTACTCTAACCTGAAAACACAGGATAAACTTAAATTCGTAACAGTTTTGGTTTGCCTAGCAGATATCTATTTGACAATTCATCCCCACTTAAGGTAAGTATAAACTTTAAAGCAATTTGAATAGATGAAATATGAACTAAAATAGCACAGAAACAGAAAACTTTATGAACCTTCTTCAACAGAAGCAGCAAGATTTCCATTTACTTTTGTGTGTTTTGACTAAACTTTCAAATTGTGCTATATGCTCTATTTTTCTTATTTTGCATTAGAAAGGAAAATCTGTTCCTATGTCTATTAGAAGTGAAGCCTTTTGTTTTTGTTGTTGTTTTAGATAGAATTAGGACCAAATTTCTATTTATTTATATGTCAATTTAAAAATTCCATCTTTACAGCTGAGAAAATTCTGTCAGATAAATTTGTTACATGCTATACATGTTATTTTTGGAACAGGAAGTTAACAGTAAGGTGAGAGATTTTTTCCCAGTAGAAAAGATACTTCAAATGTTTTCAGATGTCCCTGGAATTAGATCAAGTTCTGAATTGAAAATAAAATAAAGAAAAATAATGAGAAAAAAAATCCACTATGCAATTACAACAGGCACACTAGTAGCAGCCATTATTGCCATTGCTTATCTACCCAAACTCATATCAATTTGCCTTCATGAGGTAAGATTGATTTGAATCTAACCTAATAGCCATTTTTCAGTAGCCACATTTTTCAGTAAAGCACTTCGAATTCTGCATCTCTCATACTTCATTTTAGTAATCTATACTGTAAACTTATTCTGGAAACTTTTGTTGTTGTTGTTGCAGAGTAAGTCCTAAATAAAAACTAAAGAATAGGTCTCTAAAATGTCTATAATGCACATTTTTTATTTGATTTAGAAACCTAACTGTAAAACTGTTCTTCATCAGGGAACAGAAAAATTTCTTCTCTGTTAATCTACTACTGAAGTAGTAGATTACTGAATATAGAGTTTCAATGATGTTTGTTGAATCACATTTCAAAAGGTGGAATGCATGTATGAATGGCATCTTATGAATTCAGGACATGAAGAAGACTGAGGTAGCTAAAGAAAATATTTTTGCAGTAATTCATTTGTTTTTATTAAATAGTTCATTTTCTAGTTTGTGTTTATAAAACAAAAATAAAAAGTATTAAAAGCAGCTTGGTTTAGAAACTCCACACACTTTCTGTACCTTGGGGCAATGCAGTCCTAGTAAGGGTTCAACACTACTGTCTGACAATAAGGGAGAATAATTTATTGCTTGTTTGCTATTTCATAAGCACTTCTCTGATAGAGGGAATAGAAAAGATGCTTGAATATTCTGGCTCACTAATGTGTTCATCTTACACTAAAATCTTTTCTCATCTTGCCATCTGTTCAATTAGAAGTACTGTAAGAGTGAGTTTTTCATTTCAGCTTGCCAGTTCAGAACACACTTTTATCTGTAAGAAACGTGCTCTCAGGGGGAAACACTGATAGATAAACCTTCTGCTAAGATTTTGCTCACTCACACGCACCCACATTGGACAACATTCAGGAGAGCTGAAGAGAAGTGGGATTAGAGTGTAACTGCTAACACATTTGAATTAGGTGTATACAAGAGTATTACTCGAATAGCATATTGCCTAAATCTGCATCTATTCCAGGTCATATCATGTTCAGTCTCCCCAAAACCTGAGACTCCCATCTGGCATTTCTCCCATTTGGAATCTCTACAAGGAGATTCATCTTGGTTCCCTGGGTGAAAGAATGGAACACCAGGAGAGGATGCCAGTGCAGGAGGCTGAAGTTCGCCTGATGTAGACATCAGTGATGTCTACAAGAATGATAGCTTCCACCTTACAACCTCAGCCTGAAAACACAAGATTTCAGCAAGCCACTGCCAGTGTTGCAGCAACATAGACTGGTGTCCATAGCAGTATACTTATTATAATAATTATATATATACTTATAACCATAATTTTTCATACAGGAAGCAGGAGAAGATGTGAAAATCTTTCAGGCCAGCTCCTTTCCAGGACCCTGAGTGCAGTCCCTACAGATTGGTTTGGTTGCCCATTCCCAAGGCCAAAGTCTCCTATGGTGCAAGTACATAACTTCAAATCAGACTTCTGGGAAAGAGTTGTGAAGGAAAAAACTGCAGGAAGCCTCACTGAGAGCCTTTCCACTTCCCTCAGGAGCTGCATTTAAATGCAAGTCTTAGACCTTGTCCGACCTGCATCACAGCTATCCTTGCTCCTGGTCATGTACCTCACAGATTCAGACCTTGGCTGAATTCAGACCTATCTCACCACCCCAGATCTGTCCAGCAATCTGTGAAATGTTGACTGACCATATTCACCAT